GGTTTATTTGGGTTTAAAGGATTAGGGCATCCAGGATTAGGAGTCCCCCCCCCCCCCCCCGCCCCCCCACCCGCCGCCTCTCCGACCTTTTAAGTGTGGAGTACCCAAAATTCGGTGCCTACTAACGGTGTGCCTCCACCCCAACCGCTGCTGTTCATTGCACCCGTGTAGCGATGAGCACGAGGGAACGCATACCTACGCTTCGAGAGCTAAAGCTTGCGGGAAGGGTGGAGCGTGCAAGGGCTTTGTTTGGCCCCGGAGGATATCTCTACCCCCCTTCGACCACGCCGACAATGGACGTGACCCCTGCCGCTACCCTCGCTATTGGTGCACGTCGGCAGCATTCGGGTGTTGTAGGGGAGGAGAAGGAGAAGGAGGAGGTGGTGGAGGAGGAGGAGGGAGCAGAGAAGATAGGGAAAGGGAGAAATAACCCACAGAGATCGAACGTTCCATCGAAAAGCTCCACTTCTACCGCTGTCGAGGATCCAGAAGAAGGTGTCGGAGGCGGCGCAAGAGCAAGAGAAGGGTCAGCGCCGATAGCGGAAGGGAGTTCGACGGGCTCCATTGACACACAGCTGCCTAAACCAGCTCCACTGCCGCCGAAAGACACGAAAGCACGCCGCGGGGACGGAGATGATCGGGATGAATCACTGTCACCCAGTGAGCCACCCCGGAACGAAGTTGACCATGGCACGAGCACGGCTGCTGGCTTCCGTCCGGGCGTCCCAACGGAAAGCGATGGAGGGCACCACCGAGCGACAGCAAAACCCGTGCCACGTGGGTTGATGGATGAAGAGACACGGTACGATGGCACCGGCGAGGGTCAACAACGAAGGGGAGAAGCCGGTCGCGGAGGGGGTGCAGTGACAACGGTGACCCTGACGATTGTCGGTGGGAGGCCGGCGGGTCGAGGTTTCACCAGCCTGGAGCAAAGCGGAAAGGTGGGAGGGACAGTGACACCCGGCCCTGCCGACAGGGCCCGTGGGGTGCAGACAGGTGTCGCAAGTCCGCACTTCGAAACCTTGTTCGGATCCCCACAGCAGTTGTTGTTCTTGACCGCTCTGCGGGTTTTCCTCCCTAACCAGAACTATTAGCCTCGTTTTCCCCACCCCAAAGTCGATGCCACAGACTTGACCCCCGCATGGGGACAGGTTTCACGTGTATTGCTAAGGAGTGCCCGTCGCCGGTAGGGCCCGGCCGTTCCCCCATCGTTTCCGACTATCGGGTTGACGCGCACCACGGCCTCTGCGTGCGCCTGGTGTTTGCACTTTGGTCGGGCAGACGCCTTCTGAAACGGTCGCCAGGTTTATCGCCCTCCAGGCTGCGAGAGAAGGCAGTGAACTTTTAAGTGGTGGGTTAACGCACACCGTGACGAGCGCTCGCTGGTGCCCGACCAGCCGCGGCCGCGTGTTGAGCACTTGGGAGGTGAGCGCTGTTTTTCAAGTCCCAACAACAAAGGTTGTGGTGTACTGAATTTGCCGCGAGTTCGGACTTCGCCCTCTCCCGAATGAGTGGTTGGAAATCTGGGGTCTACCCAAGCCCTCCTGAACGCGACTGAAGTTGAAAGGAACACCTGGTTTGATAGTTGTCTTCATGAAATGGTTGGGACAAAGCGATGTCGACAACGTGGGAAATACAACTCAAGCCAAGCCGCCGAAACAAACCACCAACAACGCCGGACGCATCCTTCCCGCCGCGCCGAACACAATTGAAGAAGGCCCCCAGAACTGACATGCTACGGCAAAGCACAGCTTCCATGACCCTTCCTTGCTCTCCCGTTGCTGCCCATCAGTTCGGGTGTGTCTCGGTCGTGATGTCCGTGGTTGGAATGCTCCCTTTGCACCATTCTCATTTGTTGACACGCCTCAAAACGAACCCGATACATCAAATTAGGGGTACTGGTGCCACAGCTTATCTCCGGTTTTCTTCGGCCGAAGCGTTCTCGGCCGTCACATGACTAAGGAGATGGCCCGCCGTCGCCAGGAAGAAGATGCCGCAGCAGCACAGCTCGCCGCAACTCCTTCTGGCCCTGCTGTGTCTACTGCCGTTAACACGAGTGGGGGTAAGTGGGGGGAGGTGAACCCCAAGCGAAGCACCACCGTGAAGTGTTGTCGCAAAGACGGCGGTTTGGATGTGGAAGTAATGCCATCACGAAAGTATGTTCTGCTCTACGTCCTACGCGACAGCTCCTTTCTGCTTACTTTCTTGTTGTCGATACACTCTTGCGGCTTCCCTGTCCAGGCGAGAGTGGGGAAGAACACGAAACTCCCGACGGGACGCTCTCATCCCCCCGCCCGACGTCCTCAACCAGCGTCAACACCAACCAGAGACTGATGACTCCGAACGAGCGACTCGAGCTAGCGGAGAAGAACTATCAGGTGCGCAAAGTGTCCGTTCATGAGAAACCACAATTCACTGTGACGTGCCGGGGAACGGGAGAGGACGACACTTTTCACTCGTGCAGTAAAACACGACAGCAGAGTGCTCCCATGCAACGCTCCCTCCTGCCCCCCCAAAGACGCACCAAGAAAACTTGGCAGCGCGGGCAGGAACGAATGCCGTGCAATGATGTACAACAATCGATCACTATATGGGAGGGTATGTTGTCCATCAGGAAACACGTTGAATTGTGAGGTAAACATGTCTGCTGGGAAAAACACTCACCACGTTCGCGCGCTCAGCTACATTTTTTAAGACCAATGCCGTTTCGTTGGCGTCTCAGGAGCTAATATCGGAAGGTCTTGCGGACGGTATGCGAATGAACAAGAAGCAACACCAAGCGTTGTTAATCCGAAACCGAGCGATGAAACAGGCAAGCGTTGGAGTTGAGTTGGTTCGCTGTACTTATCGTTGTTGTTGTGGTTGTTTATGTGGATGTTGTTGCGGTTGCGGTTGCGGTGTATCGCCGAGACCCACAGGCACAGGACTTTCTTTTTTCGATGGTGACTGCTTTTGAACCCACCCGCTACTTCCACCGGAGGTACTTGCCAATCTCTGTTTGACCACTGACGAGCTCGCCGTATAATCTGCCTACATCGAACGACCAACCAACCGGGCGCAGCTGCTGCTTCGACGCAAGATCAAGGCGAAGCGCAAAAGCGGCGAAATGGCCAGAGCTCGACCCTTTTGCCGACGGATACCTTTGGACGAGGTTCGTTATTAGAATTGGTAAATCGTCCGGCCTTGTTGTCGCGTTTCCAAGCAAGTCCTGCTTGTAGACGGGTGTTTTGCGAGGAAAGCGTTGGTCCCCTCATTCCCGTTTAGCGTTCGAGCGTGTTCTGCTCATTTTTACCGTTCGACAACGGTGCGTGTGCAGATACCCACCGCACCGTCGGGTTACCCTGTGACAATGGAGTTTCCTTTTTTTGCCTGGTGAAGTGCAGAATCGGAGGAATAGGACGTACTCCGTAAAAGCTAGAACAGCAAAGGCAAGGCAAAAACATGCACATGCCTCAGGAAGCCAATGAAAGGTGTGCCATCAGCAAGTGAACAACGTTTCATACCTACGTAAGAAGATCCGAGCGCATTTTGGGTTGGTCGTCTACTGGAAAAAGTAATACTATGCATAGTCTACGGTACTTCCGTTGCTTGTGTTCTAGGGAACACCAAACATCTCGCGACAATGATCCATATCTAAAAACATATTTATGCAAATGGAGGGAACGTTTTTGCACAGATGTGCTAATCCCCGACTGCAGTAGACAAGTATTTTGTGGCCAACAAATGTGTCCGTCCGTCTAGTCCCACGTCGAATGACGGGTGAATAATCCCCCAACCCTAAGGCCCAAACTACAGTAGTGTAAGCGGGAAAAAATTACACCTAGATCGAGGAACAGGATGCCCATGAGACAGAGAAATTAGTGCGAACGATGTTCGAGGTCTCCGTGTCCGGCTTTACAACTCACATTGTAACCACAACGTCGAGGGAGCAAGAAACACGCGCATGCAGCCCACAACACTGTTTCCTCGCGGAGCTGTTGGGCAAACACACATGGTGCACTGCCACCTTCCAGAGCGAGAAGTGAAAAGGTACGATTCACCTGTTTTATATGGAGGTGTTTCGCTTCTGAATAGTTTATCCCGTCTCGATTCTCTCCCCCGCTACGTTTCTTTATCCCTCAGGTTCAGGGATGGAAGAAGGAAATCGAGGACGAAGAGCAGTTACTCCGTGCACAGAGACGGGCAGATAATGCGAAGCGTCGAAAGGAACGGGCCGACGACTCCTTGAAGAGGGGCGAGAGGTATGTCACCACAGGTGCTTTGCTCGCGCTTGGGTACCTTCCGGTGAACACAACACCGGTGTTCGGGGAACCGTCACCGTAGGGTGTTGCGGCGGGCGTGAAGCTTTGTTAAATTGTGAGGCTCTAAGCAATCGAATAGTTCGGTCAACATGCATCACGTTCTGTTCGGAACGCAAAGGAGCGCAAGATACGGCGGCACTCACGCTCAGCCTACCTGTGCCCGGAATCGCCTCGCGGTTCGGGAAAGATTTACACTATTGTTTTGGTTGTTGTTTTTGTATTCACAGTAAAAGTCGTTCCTTGGTCTCTACTCAGTACCTTGGGATATCCGTACGCGGGCGCCTTCCGTGGACACGCGCTATGAAAACTAACAAGCATCGATCTTGTTTTCGTGGCGGCTTCATGTTGAAGGCTTTTTCGAGGACCAAATCGACGATACCAAGTTTTTTCGTCCGAGTTTTTTGCTTTCTTACTGCCCGCGTGGGTTGTGAGAGTTTCGGCCTGCCACCAGGCCAGCTTGTCCTAAAGCCTCGGGTGATAATATGCGCGCGCGTACTGTTGTCGACTCCCTGCTAGGAATCAACTGAAGGCTTGGCTGATTCGCCACCTGGTCGCGAGCAACGAAGGCGACGGAGACCTTATGGCTAAGGCCATCGCGACTGAGGGGCACGAAAACGATCTCGCGCTGTCCGGTGGCTACGCGGGAAAGGGTGCTCCGGGGCGAGAGTCTTCCATGTCGGGCCGGGTACGTACGCCAAAGCCAACCAAATCCTATGCTTGTACTGGCGAAACGCCGAAAAAAACTTCCTAGAAGCAAGCGCTCTGGCGAAACGTATATTAAACTATCGTTTAGGACTACCGATTTCGAATTTCGTAACCTCGTTTCAGTCGCCGTTCCCGATGCCTATCTATCAAACGCATCGTCTACAGATTATGCCCGATCCGGGGTGGAATACAAAGGTCCTCGATGGGGTATACGATTCGGAGAAAGCCTTGTTTCGTACGCCAAAGGAGGTCACTACAATAAACGTTTCGCTCCAACAAACCCAGAGTTGTGTGGCAGTGATGGGCACGGAACTCAATACTTGTTTGCTGAGACTCGCCTTACACATTATGGGTGCAAGGGTTTCCAGCTGGACCACCGACGCGATCGGCTCGAGGGTAGAGTCTATACGTTTACCTAGTTCCAAACAAGTAGTCTTGGAGACTGCCCATCGTTTGCGTCGGACGATCACGGTGGGTCATTCCATGGAGACCATATGGGTATTGCCATCGGTTCTCCGAACTAACAATTCTAGAAAGGAACACTTGTTTGTGGTTCTGCCATCTGAATATGCAGGTCCTCGAGCTCGCCCTTAGACTCCCTCTCCCACATGCATACCGTGAACGCCTATGTACCTACCACCTAAGTGTTCTCCCGTTTGGCCTTGTTTTTCTTACTATTCTTTCCGTCCTTCGTCGTTAACTTCGCCTTGACGAATCCCTTCGTTGCAGAACATGCGCCCAGGCGGGCGCTTTGCCTACGGGCAGGAGGCTTCCGCCGAGGAGATGAAGAAGAAGGACCTCATAATCAAGGCGCAGCGTCGATTCGAACAGGAGACGGAAGCGCTCCTCCGGTACGAAGCCCCTATCGCGTAGTTGACGAGATATACTCAAGTCGCGGAACCTCTTTGTGAAGCACACCGCTCCGTGTACCGCATTTCTGGCTAGCCTGACTGCCTGGCTGTGAGCGCTTTAGAACGCTTTGTAAGTACTCATGAGCCTTCAACACCGCGATTCGCGCTGTACCTCACACGTCGCGTACGAAAGAGGAGCGCGATACACTTACGTGACATGTACCCTTCCCCCCCCCCCATATACACCATATTACGCCCTCCCGGAGATGAGCACCCATGTCTGCACGGTCTAATAGGTTCACTCGTTGGTGTCTCTCGTTTGATAAGCATACTACACCGTATAAACACCAATCTTCGATGGAGCGTTCGAAAGGCATCTCTCTCAGGTTCTCTTGTTCGAAATTATTGCTGTGGTCTTTTTCACCACACCCTAACAACACGACATGGTAATTCGACGTTTTTTCAACAAACAACAGCTTGTTTAATCCTACTCCTTCAACAAAACTTGCACTTGTGTTTTCAGAGGGGTTTTCCGGTCAGCCCTTGCTCGTACCCCGACGCCTTCGACGGCGGGTAGTTCTACGTCCAACCCCGCGCCGAGTGTCGAGTTGCTCGATGAGGCTGGAACACGTCGCACTTCCTCTTCTTCCTCCTCGCGCGGTGCGCCTCGTCCTATTGGTCGAACCGAAACCGTGGGTGCTAAAGTCGGAGCCGACACAGCGTGTGCCCCTGGGAGCGTTGTTAGTGTTGGTGATGGTGCAACCAGTGAAGAATCGAGAGCAGGAGTTTCCCCCGAGGGAAACGACGGCGGCACCACTGCTGCCACACCACCCGCGACAACCTCCACCGCAGCTGCCGTTTCGCCCGCGGAGCAGGGAGATCCATCGACTGCCGCAGAAAACTTAGAACAATCCCTCCCAGATAAGGAAGTGGGAAGTCGAGGTACAGCAGAGACAAAGGTGGCGGCCGGAGAGGGCCGCGTGCTGGGGACGGAGAACGCCAACGAGAGGAAGACGGAATCCAGAGAGAAGGAGGAAACGCGTCGAGAATCGTCTCGTCAGGACGAGCATGCTGTCGGCGTCGCGTCGGTGCCGAGGGCAGAGGTGCTACGCATGCTCCGGAAGCAGGGGCATCTCAGGCAAAAGGCCATGGCATCCGACGCCTTACGGCCAATTCTCATCGACCAGCATTTTACAAAGGTGCGCTTGTGGATCTTCTCTGGCACGAAACGTGTTGATCGATTCAATTGTTCCGTGATCGATTCAATTGTTCCGAGACTCACAAGAAACCATGTATTACCTGCAATCTCCGTGGTGCTGCCTTTTGCCATTCGTGTACAGTAACACGTGGCAAAATCGAAACAATGCCGACTACAAGAACGTCCGATTTCTTTGTATGATAATGAAATTCTGAAACGAACGCTATTCGGCCACAAGAAAAGGGGCGCGCGTAGCTACCCACCGCCAAGAGAGAGAGCGTTGTGCCCTCCGATTAGGTTACATCGTCGAACACAACTAACTATCGCTTCCCCCGGGTGTGTTCGGGAAACCGCCCCGCACTGTGTTTTCGAGCGCGAGACTGCCAACAACGTTCAACGTAACGTCGTTGCATTTCAAGGCCGTATTGCGGACTCGACCTTTTGTGGGAGGGTGTGCAACAGAAGATTCTTACTATAATATTGCGGCAGCAAGCTCATCGTTCCCGTTTTCAAAGTGTGTTTGTGTTGAGTCTAGTTTGCTGCCGCCTTCTTCTGTCCGGTTGGACGATACTAGCGGCTGTTCACCCGATGCGGGTTCGGCAGAGGTGCTCCCTGCACCGCTGCAGACGGTCCTTTCATGCACTTTCAACACCGGTCTCGCAGGAAAGCGCGAGAGTGCTCTACCTGTGTGTCTACCCCCAACCCATCCCCGCCGTCTGGTCTGCTAGTCCACCCGGTCTTGGCAAAGTTCTCCTCGCTATACAGCTCCTCTAACGGACAAGCTGTGTGTCGGGAACGCCGTGCAAACTCCCCATCATGTTGAATCGTGAGAAATCTCAGTGGATCAGGGTTAGACCCCGTAGGTGCGTTGTTGGCAGATGAAGCATTCTTCTAGATACTCGAACTTGCTTTGTCTGGCAGGCGTTTCTTTCGCATCCGGGTTCGGCGGAAGAGGCGGCTGTCACACACATCACCGAGGATGAGCTGGCTTTGTTCGGCTCTGTCGTAGCCGAGGTCGACCGCTGGTACAAGAGGCGAGTGGACTCCGAGCACGTGTCTTAGAAATTGGCGGGGCAATAATTCCTCGGCTGTACTACGTTTGGCTTTGCTTGTGTTTTCCCACTCAGGTGCGGAAGAACGCGCCTCACACGGAACGCCTGGTCAGGATGTTTCATAACGATGAGGCGATTCCTCGGCCGGGCGAAGTTTGGCTTTGCTGTTACGTTCCCCACGCAGGTTTGTAGTGTTCTGAATGCACCTCGCACGGGAGGCCTGGTCAGGATGTTTCGTAACGGTTCTTCCTGATAGAATCTCATCGAATTCTCCTTACTTGTCCACGTGCTGGCAGGGTGAGGGCGACATTGGACCCGGTTCGTGCGAAGGCAGAAGCGAGGGTAAAGTCGTTCGAAGAACGGAAGAAGCGAGCTCGGGATGGCAAGGTGATGAAAACGAAATGCGGCACATCTGAATATCTAGACGCAAACCGCACAGCAGCACCCATGTTTCGTCGCACAAGGTTATTCATTCTGTGGTCGGCGCGGAGTTGCTGCTACCGTTGCTGCCATGAGAATGTGTCCTTACCTACATGTGAAACTTCGTTTGCGGCACTCGTCACGCTCATGCGCTTCAGCCCGTGCCTAAACTTTGATTTGGGTGTTTTCGGCAAGATGCTGAGAACTATGTTTTGTCCCGGCGTATCATTGCACAAGCAGTATCACCGTCGCCGTACATGATCAAAACGAGAGCGATCAAAAATAGTTTTCAAGCCTCTGGTTTTGCGGCCGACCCTGTCGCCTTCAACCAGTCCCCTTGCCGCTGCGCACCTCACTACGGGATGTTATCCTCTCTCTCCAAACCCCCGCCGTCCCCGTGCGCGCTGGCAAGACGGCACGGACCGAACGCAAAGGCGACCCTAATGCGCATGCTCCGTCAGATGCGTGGCGTGCGGAGCTCAATATCTCGAGGAAGGCGAACAGAGGGGATGGCAGGTGTGTGTCCGCCACCTCGAACAGCAAGGTGTCATACCGTAACCCAATCGCGTTTGTAGTATAAGGGTAACAAATGTTCCTATTTCGGACGCACCTCACCAAAAGCTTTAAGGTAAAATAGATCGAACGTTGGTCCATTTCTTCGGTGATTCCGACCGTTCCAGTCTTGACGAGGTGATAGCCGCCGGACGTCGTGAAAAGAGTACGGTCCCCACCTTCTTTCTAGATTGCCAATAATGTTCTACCCACAAAACTACTTCGGACCTTGCACACGGGGCAGTCGTATCCACGACCGTATGGGTTGCGCTGAAATACCTCATGGCGTCCTTGACTGGCGGGGGGGGGTATCGCTCATCCTGTTTTACCACTCAATGTTTAATGCGGCGGTTCTCTCGCCCAGAAGACTCCATACCGAGATGGAATGGAGTTGGTATTCTTGAACAGATTCGTATATTCTCGGCTTCATTCTTGAACATCTCATAATACGATCACGGTAACAAGCTCCATGTCTGTCTGTCTGTCTGTCTGTCTGTCTGATTGACTGTCTACCTGTCCGTCTCGCGTGCGCGCGCGCGCGATTCCTGCCTACGGATGTTTTCAGGGAATGGTCACGGTTTCACCACCATGTGCTCATCCGCACCTCGGACGACCTCCCGCTTTACTGCTGTCTTTGCCGGCGTAGGAAGTGGGAAGCGGTAAGTGTATAGAGTTTAGAGTGAGCCCTCTGTTGTGCTACTGGCTGAACGCAAGGTTTTATACCTGTGAGACGAATGACACAGGACGGATCACATGAAATATACGTTGGTGGTTGCGTGATTGGTGGTACAGAATGGTGTTGTGCACACTGTCGCGCGCCTCTCAGATAATCGCAAAAGACCTTGTAGAGCCACCACGTAGCTCCCGAACACACAGTCGCGTCTATCGGTTGCTTAGGCATGAGCACCTTGTGATGACAAGGCAAGAAAATGACCGCTCGTTCCCGGCCTGCTCTGTTTTAAACGAGTGGCAGCTCGTAGAATGTGTGCACAGCGCATATAGCCTACGCAATTTGTGCGTCGGCAGCCGTTGGAGCTCCCCGTTGCCATGAGGCACGTCACTCACTGTTTTGCGACTTGGACGCCTCAGGCGAGGCTGTCCAGACTCAAAGGCGAACACGCGATGCGCACTTCCTGGGAAGCGGTTTTGAGCGAAAGGCAGGAGATCCTCGAGCCGATGGTCGAGGTGTGTTGCGGTTTGGGGTTGTTGTGGTTGTTGCTGCTGCTGCTGTTGTTGTCGTTGTTGGTGTTGTTGTTGCGTCGCGTCTACACCTTGAGTCAAGCCAAAAACACAGATCGGAGTAATAAGCAGTGATATATTCAAGATCCACTCCCAATTAAGCTTCATCAGGGTGTATCACAAGGAAAAACCACCAGCGTTTCTTCCAGCTTGCCTCTGCCCGCCTCAATTCCCGCCCCCGTTTCATTGTCGCGTCTCACAATTCTTGCTTTGAAATCTGCCGACGTACAAGGCAAAAGTCTGAAAAATGAAAGCCTTCCTCCACGTCTCATCCATTCAAAATAAGCAGGCATCTCAAGTACCTTCGATCAACCCATGCATGCGCTCGTAGGCTTCCTATTCACACATGCTTTGTTTCCCGAAGGGTTCGAGAAGCGATATCTCTTTTGACTTGCTCCATCGTGCACCGGAACATCGCCCACTCTCCGGTTTTCGCCTCTTGTGCGTCTGCTAGGCTGTAATGAAATGTGCGTTGTCCATGGACCGTGCGCTCTGTGACAACGACAAGGGCTCGTGGGCCGTGCTGCATTGTCTGGAGAACTTGGTGAGAACTCGATCCCGAAGTATCGTCGACTGAGTTTGAAGGCGATCCCATCCCCAGCAAACGTCCCAAGGGCAAACCCTTGAACCGATTCGATTTTTTTCAAATGTCAACGTGTTTCAATGAAAGCGGCGTCGAAGACGTTTCAGCAGAAATGCCCACCCACTCGTAGATGCCATCCTTGCAAATTATTGCCCACGGCCCGCAAAAATGCATCAACAACGATTTATCGGCGAGTTAGAGCTCAATACAGGCATCCGCCTTCTGCGCTAAGCCTCCTCGGGTCGGTGTGCCCCATCAATCACCTAGGCCAACCCGGTGGTTACTACATGTTGTACGTAGCGATGGTAGATCATGGTATGAACCACTGCAATTGAGCGACCAATGCGTTCGCGAGCTGCTCCAGTTTTTTTGTCATTGAAGGTTTTCCACAAACACAAGAAAAAAACATCGAACCAGGTACTTGCTGTCCCCGGTCGGACCGAGTCCCTCGACGCAGCTAGCATGGCAATAGAAGCTGTGTTGGACGGTGTGATGAGGGAATCCTTCTCCATAGAAGAGCGGACGCACAAGAGACGCATGGCAGCTCTTGCAAAGGTGATGTACACCGCGCCCGAAATTCAGAACAATCGCGGTATGCATGTGATGAGTTGTTTGTCGCAAGGCTGGAGCCACTGCGTAGCTCTGAAACTTCTTCATGTGCGAGTTCTGCACATGGGGGCTGCGACTCCTGGTGGGCAACACCAAACGACATCGTTTCTTTGTATTTTGATGAACAAGAATCAAAACTCTCGTATGTTTCCGGCTTCCGGAGTATTCGTAGCGTACGAATGTCCAAAGTGGACGCATACCCCTTGCTAGCCCCTCGAAGGAGAAGCTTGGTGGATTCGACCCCATTGTCTCATTGTGAATCATCCCTGCCATGTGTTTGTGACAGCTGCGAGCTCTAGAGGAATTCCAAGACGGACCCGCCCGCAACAGGAGACGATCCCGCCGAGGTGTGTTTGCCCGTAACTTAGTCTGCTTTGCGCTCCTCCCCGGACCGTGCGTCAATCCACACGCAAGCCTAGGGCCGGAGTCAGTAAAAATTATTGATGGTTCCTCGCGAAAGCTTAGGGAAAATCTGAAATTGAGGCAAGGTTACCGGTCCTCGTGGAGCCTTGGTTTTCTCGGGAGAAATAAATTCGGTTCTGAACGATGTTCTCTCCTCAAAAACGTGACACGACACACGTATTGACAAGGTCAAGGTGGTACTGCAGAAGTGCGTAACCTAGGGGGCACACATCACAAGGTGCCTGACCTGAGGCACCAACGTCGAATGTAGAAACAACGTTCCGGGGCGGACGAAAAATGGGTTCTGTATACAGCCTGAAAAGTCCGATAGACTAGAGCGTGTCGGGACTACCAGTTGGTTGCACGTTCAGCGGACACAACCCAAATCGCGCTACAAAAACTACCCTTCCGCCCACCTGGACCCCTTTGCTGATCGGCGCACTCCTTTACCAGTCTCTGTGGGCCCATCTGGGTTTGGTGTTGCAACGTTACCGAACAAGACTTCCGGGAAGCCGAAGAATGAAGAAATAGGGCAAGCATCCGCTACTAAGGTTGAATCTGCACCAAAATCTGCTTCGGGGAATGGGTCTGTGTCGACGGCCGTAATGGCGGCAGGGCAGATGAGCGCAGCAGTCGCTCGCGGACGGCGGCGAGGCTTCGCGGAATTCAGCGAACAGGCGCAGGTGCATAACGCAACTAGCCTTGCCCATGCCCATAGGTCCCTACCACCGAGAGCGTATTCTCGCCAGCGGGGGGGGTTCCAGAGACATGGCTTTAACCAGCTTATGTTGCGGAAGCGATGGCCGTTGAGTTGACGCCGTCAGTGACCCTCGTAGGTTTCAGCGCTAAAGGGTTGCATGCGATGCAGTCCGTGGTCCTTGGCGGAACACTATTCAAATACATCACACTTGGCTTCTCGCGGAATTGGTGCAAGCGACAGCGTACCGAAGAAATTCGTGTGTTTCGTTTCCCGCAGGATACGAAGGTTCATGAGAGAACGCTGGTCGTGAACTAGAGTGTGCGCTTGACTGATCTCCATGCGCAGACTCTAAATCACAATAGCAACGACATACGGTTTATGTCTACAGGTTCGTTTATTAATGGTACGACGTTCGCAAGGCAGAGATTACTTCATACCAGTATTATCTGCACACACCTATCGATCGATGCGTACCTTCCCAACCGCATACTCTGATTTTCCAAGAATTCCCTCATCATTTAGGACATCAATCCCCACTTCTGTTTGCGACAATCTTGATTCCCTAGAACAACTTGTCCTCCGATAATACGTCCCTTGCCCACTGGTTGCGCAACCTTGTTAGGTTGTCGATGCGGACGGTATCAAGTTTATTATGTACCTCTACCGCAAGGTACAGCCCACTCTGGGAGCGCCCCTTGGTAGAGGTAGAATGTCAGTGAAAATGTCACCTTACGGTCAAAATTACTTTAGAGACACTTGCCTTACCTAAAGAGTCTATCTGCTGTACAGCAAACCTTTCCGCATACGGTTTGGTTTGGGTCGCCCAGGCAATTGCCACCAGGTACTACGACCGCCCTCGAGACAACCTATTAACAGCCGCAAGGGCAACTGCCTCGTGGTCCCGACTGCGAGAAGTTTGGTTCCAGACCGAGGAGAACGACTTAGACGGCTTGGACGAAGCAAAGGCTTCGTCACTTGAGGTGAGGCGGAGTTAGGAGGCGCTAACACTTGATCGACCCAGAAGATTGAACGAGCTGTTTGGAGAACCCATGTCATTTCGTCGATAGGGAATGGGGGAATGTCGGACGGGGAATATTGCCCGCCACAACCTGGGGGGAGCAGAGGGAGAAGTGGACCCGTCCATCTCGAGATCAAGGAGGCGTGTCAACTTCGTCTGGCGGAATGTCATGCGGCAGACCAGTTTTTACCGGCGGATTATTCGTTCGTAAACTAGGGACAGAATCGTTGTTGCACAAAGCCCCCACCAACCAGCTCCGATCCGTAAAGTAATTGTCCATGGTTTGCGACCCGGGTCGTCGTCAGCGACAGCGGTTGGTGAGCAATGCCGTTCTCCGTTTACTTGGGACTATCCGTCGTATGTTGGCTTCGAAACTGGCCGATTGTCGAGGTATTCATTTTTCTTTATCGCCCGGCTTGTGCATGAATCATCCAGGCATGTGTGGTGGAGACTTTGGACAAAGAGCGAGAGACATGGGAGCTGCAGGAAAACGAGCGGAGGAGCATGTTTGCGCAAGAAGAGGTAAGCAATCAAAGGACGTGCACCAACTTTCGACTGTCTGAACACCTTGGACACTCTCAGAAAATGCGGCGACACAGTGCGAACGCTTCCCCATTGTCAGGATATTCCGATCTAGAAGAGGTTAAAGGACCACATTCACCACAAGTTTGCAAAGCGATCTCGAATCGCACTGATGAATGTCGCAGGAATCAACGCTGTGTTGAGTTAGCGCGCCGCAGGAATGGGCAAGTTGAGTTATAAAGTAGCGGGCATAGCAGACGTCCCATCAATGTTTTCGTTCTTCATGTCTAGCTGCACGTTCCGCCAACATATCCGTTGGCAGTCGCAGCGCAGGGACGACGAGGCCTTGCGTCGAGCAGCAGAAGCCGTCCCTTGCAAGACGCAGGAGGTCGGGCACCGCGCTTTTTGCGCCCTGATCGACACCATGGAGCGGCGATCCCAAGCTCTGGGCAGGCTTCGGTGGGAACTGACGGCCAGTCTCGGAGACATGCAGGTCAGGTCACCTAACATTACGTCTTGGAATTTTCCCCCGAATAGGCGAACTCCGTCCTACCATCCTAAGCGCTTAGCTGGTTCGTATAGACGACGATATTCACAGCCGGCATGTTTCATCAAACGATGCATGCAAGAGAATAGGCCGAACCGGACATAGGCAACGGGACGCTCTGTGTTTGCAAGAAACCGACGCTCTTTAAGCCACAAGGGAGAAACACTGGTTTTTGAGAGTGGCGCTGGTGTCCGACAACAACCACAAACGTTTGATCTATTAAGAAACGTGCGGCGAATCCACCAGACTATGACGACCAGAGTGAGAGACGCGGCGACAGGGAAGCGTTACGTGTGCCGGCTGCTACCGTGTCGGAGCCAAGAGGAGGTGGAGTTCTTGCTGAAGGAGGCGTACCGTACCCAGGTGAAGGACATCGCCCAAACAGCGTAGCAGTGCTTCAAGCAACCGGAAGAGCAGGTTCTTCGTTGCAACACCGACTTTCAAGCCAAACTACGTAGTTCGCAGCAGCAGGAATGCCTCTCAGTAATGAAGGACTGTAACAGATGCTGAGTGGCGCGTGACCCATTGCGGGGTATGGAACATTCCGTTTTCGACGCCCTCACCCCGGATACCGTGGTATGTAGGTTGCAAGGGCTCTGCACAGCCAACCTCCCGCCCTCGTAAACGCAAACACCCAGCTTTCGGCAGCAAAACGCGTTGAAGAGGCACTAAAACAGGTTCGAAGCAACACCCACCCGGGGATGCCTTTCGTCATGCCGCTCCCCTCCTGTACCCGACACGGTTGTGTTAGCCATGCGATATCTGATGCCCCCCAGTCTTCCCTCTTGCCCCCTCCGCTCCGGCAGGAAATTCGCAACCCATACCTCGTGAAAATTCACAGTGCCCACCCTCACCGCATCGCCACGTACGACGAGAGGGGCGTGCAAACAACGGGGGGGAAAGTGGTGCTCATACAGGCAGAGTTCTGCGCTGGTGGCTCCCTGCAGAATCACCTCAACCTGCTGCTAGGCTCCAGCGGAGAAACGAGCACCGCAGGTCGTAGCTTCGACAGAGAGGTAGAGCGGCGGAAAGTGTACACGCCCGAGGCGGAATCGATGCTCAAGGCTGAAGAGGAGGAGAAAAAGCGACGAAAGGCTACAAACGCTCCTTCTTCAACCGCCAACAAGATCGCCGGTCGCAGCGTACCCTGGCGAGAACCTCTGGGGACCCGTGGAGCAGCGCAAGGCGGCACGCTTTCGCAACGCCTGGAAGTTTGGGTCCGACAGGTGAGCGCCAATCGCCGGGGATGCGGAGAAACATTGGAGTTGAAGCAACTCAATGCAAAATGGAACTGTGTCGTCTTCGATTAGAGGCAAATCAGACGCCAAGCATATCAGCAAGCTCCGGCCGTACACCTGCTGGTCAGAGTCGGTGTTTCTGCCGCGGACGACCGCATGCTTGGAATTTGAAGGAAACGTCGTGTGCCGTGTTTTGCTCTATTAGGGCAGCGGATGGTCGCTGCGAAACGAGAACTAACGGTGCTACTCGCCCTTTGTGCTTATCATGTGCCACTGGCAACCCATTCCAAGGAAACCTGCCAAGAGAGCGAGCACTTCACGTACGACTTTGCAAAGGCCGCAAGCCCCCACACGTTATTGTGGTAGGTCCTCGTAGGATGCAGCTCGAAGCCAATAATCGGTTTCATCACCTTCCGCTGCTACCCCTAACCGACGTTCCGCTTGTCAGGTTGCACATGGTCTTTCTGCACTACACGCCGACGGTGGGATGCACCGCAACATCAACGCTCAAAACGTGTTTCTCGACGAGAGAGGCAGGGCGAAGCTTGGCGGCTACCAGTTCCTGAAGGTTCTCGTAAACGGGATACACAGACGTCAAAAACTGGACAATTTGCGAGTGTGTTATAATAGGTTTGCTTCTAGCTCCGCGCCCTCTGCTCCAGTTGATTGTTGTTGGTATTAAGAAATACCAGTTTTCTTCTGACAAACGTGCTCCGTAGCTGTAGAAAAATGCCAACGACTCATAATCACGATCCGGTCAAACCTGCACGCGCGAACACGATATGCCCCAAGCAGGGGGCAACCAGCAACTTTGCCGGATCGCTTGCAATGCACGAGGGGTTCGGATGCGCTGCCTACGCCCCACCAGAGTTCGAACTGCGTGGCGAAACCTCTCCTAAGGTGTGGGATCTCAATAGACGTTCATTATTCTCCCTGGTGCTTTGAGGGGTTTCGCATTTTTGCTTGCCCGCTCTTGGGGCGGCTCTCGTGCTGGGGCGAAAATCAATCGAACCTTTGCGGCCTACGGCGTCCGGTACGTCGATGTTTCCGAATATTCTGGGCATGTCCGGTCGATCCGGCGTTTGGTTCCCCAACATAGCACTCTCCCCCCGGTACACATCATCGTGATCGCCTCCAGGGTGATATGTGGTCGTTAGGCTGCGCTCTGTACAAGTGGACGACAGGCAAGGAGTTTGCCTACGTCGCTGCCGGCGCGCGTCTGCAGGATACTCTCCACCTCGTTCCGCCTAGTTACGGAGACAAGGTAAGTAACAGGTTTGACCACGTTATTTTGATCGGATGGCGGAAGATATATCCGTGCTTGCTGAGAGCTAAAAACATTCTGACCTGTCGGGCAGTTGTTACGTTTTCGGGCTCGGCGATACCTTGTGGGCAGGGGCGGCTGCCGACGAAGTCGTTTGTCCCGATTCGGTATAGCTTGTGCTTCCTCGATGTCGGGGTGGCCAGTACCCACCATGCTCTCTACCGAACGCCCATGGACTGCGAGGTTCAAATTTCGTTTGTGCGATCAACGGCTTGTGCTATGCATCCGGTTGGGCGAAAACTCTGTGTGCTTTCTGTTCGGCCTCGCGATTTTAACAGGTCAAGGCCGTCCTATTCATGTGCTTGCAGCGTGATCCTACCGTTAGGGTGACGTCCACGGATCTCTGGAAGTTCATGGCGACGTCTGGAGACAGCACTGTTGCAAATCCTGTTCAAGTTTCTTCAGATCCACCCGTTGCTCAGTAGTACCATGTTCGGCATTGCGGGGTTGATTCCACAGGGGACGTAGCGACGCGGACCTCCGCGTTGTGGTCTTGGGGAATGTGCACCGAGGTTGATGAGGTAACCTGACGATGGTGCGACCTTTGTGGCAGCAGCCGTCCAAATACCCTAATAATGAGTTTCGGGGCAACCTCATGGATTTATCGTGGGTGTATGCATACGTCGGTCGCAACGTCGGTGGTAGTATCGGCCGCGGCGCGTGATCGCAAAGGAGGCCTCTAAAATCTGCATGGACTTGCCGAGGAGGTTGGAGTATCACCATGGCGCTGGCTGAAGCGCAGCAGAATCATCTGCGCGATGTCCAATACCACAGATGTAATCGTAAGGGCGACTTTCAACGAGCATCTTGTCACCAGCGCTCAAGAGATACTGTCGTCGCTGGTGGTGCTATTTTATCAAATATGTAGTACATAGCACGCCTTCACGCTCGCGCTCCCAAACTGCTTCGCCGACCCCTTTGACACAGCGACCAAATCGATACGTTTTTCCGGGCCAAAGCGACGAGCTTTGTGGCACCCGAGCCGCCAACGTTTTTCGCGGCCTAAAGTATTCAACGTCGTCCATGATACGCACGTCACGCGTCCCTCGCGAGAAAAACGACGGGGCTTGCCAGAATAACATTCCAGGCGTGCAATACTCCTCAGGTGTCGGTACGAGGAGGATAACGAGGAATACAGTCAACGGAGTTGTCTGTGGCCCTGAGTCCTCTACTCGACCTGCAGCGTGACCATGTGAGGTGGATGCTGTGTCGCTGTCGCTCGAAGTGGTCACGTAAGACACATGACTGACCCCCCCTGACAAGGGGGGCGAGCGTTTCGTTCCTTGTCCGACGACGGCGTAGTCGGAGCGGCCTCCGATTACGGTGTTCCTGTCAGCACTTCTGTGGTAGCGGTTGGAGTCCGCTCAGCATTGGCACAACGCGAATCACAGACCATGGGAAAACGACGCGTGCCTTGCGACATGCAATCGCGAGGACTCGTTTCGCCTTGGTGCCGCCTTCCGATGAGTGACTCTGAACACCGTCTCCAGTTCCATCGGTCACCGTGCGGCACAGGCTGTCGCAGAATCGTACGCGCGTGTTGACATTCCCAAGAAAATGCATGCGTGAAATAGCTTGGCAATCCTCGTACTCCTTGGCGACGCTCATAATTCGCTGCCGATAATGAGCGGTTTCACACGAGCACGTCAGAGCTGACCCAAAGGGAATGCACGCTCGAAAACCCAGACCCACCGTGCCCGCACCTCGAACCGACGCTTGCATCATCGTGGCCAACACCACCACCTCAAGATCCAGGCTGGTTTCCGGGCGGCAACGACAAGCAATCGTGCGTCATGCAAGCTCCAGCACCATTTGGTTTCGGGTAGCCGCCTTCACGAGAGGCCGCCTCATTCGCACCTAGTCTTGGAGATTGTGTGTTTACGACAGCAACATTGCTGCCGCCCGTGGGGAGTGTGGGCTGTGCCATCTGCAACCCGCCGGGTTGAACTTCGTGTCCCCACGGCTGTGAACGATACAATAGCGTTACTGTCTTTCCGGGTTCCATGGAACTTGACAGTAATCCCAACACGAATGACGATTGTTGCTGCTCTTCTGTGTTTCCTTAACGCCTTGCATGAACACCATGCAGCACAGAACTGGCTGAGCTTGCTAACCACGGGTCGAACGCTTCTTCGATGTCATCTACGACACATCGAAATAGTTTATACAACTGAGAGCGACCGTGGGAGTTCATGGGTTATTTTGAATACGACAAGGTTTCTCCCATGTCCTCAAGCCTGCAGGATGGCGCAAAGGAACATCAGCACGACCAGCGCGACAATACGTCGAAAACCGTCCTGGCCTATTAATCCAATGTCCAATGTCCCGTATTCTGTCTACTTCAGGGAAAACAAGCGAACTTCTTCTGTCGTCAGCCGCGACTCCAAGACAGCAGAAAACAACCCTGGTCTCGTTTTTATTTCTAAATCCGTCAATATTAATGAAAAATTAATAAAGATCGAGGTCGAGGCCCCTGGACAGAGGATGGATCAGATGTTGAACGTGGGAGCGGCTCTCAACGCTGGTGACCAAGTCGGCAGGCGGAAGCCGGAGCTGTAGTCTGGTGGCGGAGGGAGCGCCGCAAGGAGTATTTAAGCTTCTACAGCAGCTCTTCGAAAGCAGCAGACACACAGCTCACATCGCTGCGGCACCAAGAAGGCATTGGACCTCGCCCAAAAACAGGTGTTTCTTACAAGCGGGCCGGCACTGCATCACCGGGGACCGGTATTTGCGCCGGGAAGGGTGGCATATCTATTTGGGGGTGTTATCTTGTGTAGAAAACGTTATGACCAGTCGCGTGTGTGTGCTGTTTTTCTTCGATTGATCTGTCGCAGTCGCTCCAACAAATTCTACCCCGGCTTGCCTCTGTACCTTGGAAAGCCGGCGTCACAGAAGAAATCCTCTGTGGTGCTTGCTGAAAGTTTTGTTCGCGAAAAAAGGTCAGCTTCGCTCCCTCAAAAATTCACTATAGCAACGAAGTGCGCACGAACGCTCGTCGCCAAAATACCTAGCCCACCGGACCGACCTGCTGCGTCTTCACAATTACGAACAAAAACATGTTTGGAGGTGCCACGTACCCCACACAAAACAAACTCATCGGCGACGAGGCCGACCCGCAAGAAACACAAACTACTGCGTGAATACCCCCGGAACTTTCCGCACGAACGAAAGGTATGTAACTCTACGTACAAAAATAATTTATTCACGGGATGTTGCAGTTTCCCTAATCACCGCGCCTTGTATCTCGGGTGCATGCACACCACCCCTGCATACTTGGATCTCGTGTCTACGAAGCAGATGTACATCCTTCACCCCAACGTACTGCTTCGCATCAACCTCTTCCCCGCCCCCCTTGCCATCGAAACGAAACCGTCACTGCATCTCCCCAATCGTGAGACAGCAGCTAGACGCATTTCCAACCACGACATCGAAGTAAAACCTGCTGTAGGAACGAATCCTTAAGCCTACATTCCGATGTTCCTCCCGCGTTTTCCACATCCGCAGAAAAGGGGGAAAAGTGGAGTACGGAGCCAGCACACTGGCTATTCTCAAGCCACTCTATGAATGGCTGGCACGGAAAGAGACCGTCTACAACAGAGTGCGCCACCCGCACTGGTTACACACAAAACGAGAACAATGACGGCGCTATAACCCCGACCACCTCGACAATATATTCCGCGTGCACAACACCCGACCGTAGCTCCGTGCACTGCTTCGTACACGCGGAGCGTGTACCAATCCTCCTGCTCCTTGGGTATGCATTGAACGACAATCAATCACTCTTGGCTACGGCTTGTGAGACGTTCTCCTTCATGTGCCGTTGCGATCTAAACCACGGCACCTGCTACCGCGGCCTTGACACACACAAGGCCGCCTCTCCTGCTCGCTCTTTTTACACTAAGGCACGAAGCGGTCCTCTTCCTATACAACATCCAAACGCGCACAACAGGCGTTCATGTTTTGAAGTCTTTACTCCACGACTAAAACGTGATGGGTGCGACCGACCTGTCGCAACGGGGTTTTCCTTCAACTAGAACCCCGTAGGCTGGACAGCAGTCGTGTGTCGCCGTTTTTTTCTGGAATGGATTCTCACTTTTCTTTGGTAAAACGGATACGCCACGCCCCTCCGTTAAAGCAGTTTTCGTCACCCTATATTTCGTAGCTCGTGTTCTAAATAGTAGGCGACCCAGACAAAGGGCGGGGCTACACAGAGATAAGCTGTCGCCTACATCCACTCACTCCCTACCGCACCACAAACAGCAAAATCACGCCGAACAAATAAAACCCAAAACATGCCAGTGGGCGGCTTTCTGGGCTCGCAGTCCGGCTATCCATCGTTGGCGAAGTGCAGATGGTCACCACCAACAAAGGGGTGGGCTCCTACGAAGCAGCGTCCTCGGCGCCAGCCACAGCACTAGAAAAGGGAAGCCATCCCGTGGCTAATGCAACCTCCTTAACGGAGGGATCAAGCTTCCACGCGATAGGCTCCACACCGTTCAGCTCGTACACCACCCTCTCCATGAACCGGAAACTGATAGGTGGTTGGAAAGGCATGAGGGGGTGTGAAAGGAAGGGGGGGGGGGGATCATGCTTTGCTTGCCGTCATATTTGTGTAGAAGCCGTTAACCAAGTGTCTCGTCTCAGTCGAGCACATTGCTTTCCCTGCTTAACCCACCTCCTATGTTTTTCTCTTTTGGGAACTTTGGTGGTGTTGTTGGGGTGGATGTTTTTCGTTTCGCACACTTGAGAGTGTGGGATAGCGGTAGGGGAGGGGGGGGTGACAGGAGGACAACAAGCATTGGCTGCATTTTGATGCACAACTGAGGTAGGACCGATATTCTACGTGGTCGCTGATAGCATTGAGCTCACACGGAAAAACGTATGGCACGGCAGAAGCATTGAGCAGCAGCAATAGCAAAAACAGTTACGGCAGGCCTGGCTGCATATTGTACAGACCCCGCTCTGCCCAGGCCAAGTCTATTTGTTCCGATTTACCAACGTGGGCATACGTCCATGTGGTACTTTTTTCTAATGCTGAGGAACGCCTACTCATACCTGACTGCCAAAAAGACCGACTATGAAGGGTACGGCCAACAGATGGCGTACATAGGAAACAGGAATCTGCGAAACAGGAACCTACGAAACTCACACTCTGAAGTGGTCGAGCGGCCCGTTGCATACCCCGGTAACGATGCAGTATTTTTCCTCGAAGGGGCTCGAGTGGTGTCGTCCGTGCTCCTTACGGCTGACGGTTACACCGAATTTTTGGAGGGCCCTCACAATCGGGGGCGGAGACGTCATGTGCGCGAAACGATGAAACTCCTGTCCAAAAAGAAAAGAAAAATCAGCCAAAACAACAAACACCGACGAAAAAGGGAGGCAAGGATCAGCGCCACGGCTTCGAGAGGTTTGTGCTGCACGCACGGCTAACCCCTAGGGTAGGAGAAACACCATGCAGGCGGCTTGTTGCTAGACTTCTGCCCCGAATGGTACCAAGGCGGAAGTCCACAATAAAACAGGAACCTACCCCGATCAAGTCCACACTTAACCAGGAACAGAGGTATGCTTTCGTATCCGCCGACTGCTCTCGTGAAACCCTTGCCCTTCTCGACTCACGTTGGACATGAGCGATCCGACGAGAAAGGCGACCCCGAGGGCGACGCCCGCTGGCCCCGGGTTGACCAGGCGAAGTAGCGCCAGCAGAGGCAGCACGGCGTAGGCGATCTTGTGCACGTTGTTCTCGAACGGTCGGTAGGTTATTGTCCACGGCGAACCTGAGGCAGAGCCATCAGGACACGCAGAAAAGAGCGCCAAAAGCGTGCGGGTTCTTGTCGTTAGCATCGGCCGCGCTTACCGGCTGATCGATGAACAGACTTAAGTCTCAGTGCCGCTGAAAACAGAAAATGTTTCCAAAACCGTGTGTGTGCATCGTTTGGGGGGCGAGCGGGAGGGGGGGGCACAAGCCGTGTTAATATTTGAACATGCCGACTCCGGGGTCGAGAGGTATTTCCTGTCAAATTGCTCTCTCGCAGCATCGGCGTTCCCGCAGGGAATCTTCGATGGTTTCCCCGTGATCAGCATGGAGGAACACCTGCCTGTGCCCGTGCCCCGTGCTTCTTGCAAGCTACCGGGATTCGATAGGGTAAATAAACGCAGTCCTTGATTGCTCCAGACTGCACTTCGCAGCACCACTGGCGCTTGTTTTCCCTCTGCGCGCGTTCAAATCACCGCCGCGGCCTGCGCCGTGCTATGCAAACTTATTGCTACGTTTCGTGTATCTACAACGGCCCATTCAAACAAAAAACTCCAGAAATAAATCGACACAGGGCCAGCTGCTAGTGTTTCCGTTCTATCGAAGTCCCCGCAAAAGGAGCATCGGACGGAAGCGGCACCAGCACGGACGGAGCTTTAACTTAGGGGGGTATGAAACCGCATGAGAGCTACCTGCATCATCATGACGTCCACCCCTCTGTTCTGTTTCCCACTCGCGCGATAGGTCACGCGCTCTGTGTCCCACGCTCACCGACTCCTCTACTTGACTAGATTGGATAGATTGGATTTTGTTTCCTGCAGCTGCTCTTCTCCCTCTCAACAACCAATTACCAACACCACACTGAGCGGAGGCCGGAACAGTTATTAATGTGAAGACGGCAACAACAACAACAACAACAACAACAACAACACCGACAGATCAACTCACCGTGGTGGCCTTGAAACGCCTCGATCACCGCCCCGAAGACCGGTGTGCTGCCGTCCCCGTAGTTGTCCACCGACCAGTGGAACACCCCGCTCACCAAATCTGCGATCGTGTAACCCACAAACGCCCCAGCCGCCGTCCACAGCGCCTCGAGGGGCGACGTTACGGTGGACAGAGCCTGTACACGGGGGTTGCGGGGGGCGAGGAGGGAGGATCCAGTACAGCATGAGGGCAAGGATGCTTGGACCAGGACAGAGCGAGGTAACAGCTGCACTTGAGCACCCGCCGCTTTGGAGGTTGTTCTCACAATATTGCCAGGGAGATTGTGTGACCGATCATGGCAACAAGCACGTCTACCGTTTACGGCACACAACAGGCACACGTCGTTTCATACACCTGAGCTGTCAACAAAAAATTGAACAAAAATTGCAGAACTTGTCACCACCACCAGCCCATACACACACGCAGGGCGCGGACCGCGAGCTAGCGTGCGAAGGGGGGGGACACACCTGCAAGAAGTAAATGGCGTTAAGGGCCAAAGACGACCACACGAGCGCGATCATCTTCGGAGTGTTTCCAAGAAGGTCCCCTTCCACCACCACTTCGGGCGCCTTCCCTGGGCGACGCGCTTGTCGTCGAGAGAGCGGCTTCTCCACCACGGCAGCGGCACCGGGAGACGAGCGCAAGTCCGCATCAACGATAGCCGCTGCTGCTGCTGCTGCTGCTGCTGCTACCGTCGGCTGCTCGGCTACTGCGGAGGCGGCGGCTGTCGCCTCGAGGAACGTTGTCTTGGGGTCTGTTTGACGCAGCGAGAGAATCTTCCGAAAAAAAGGAGCGACGAAACAAGGAGCGGGGAGCGTGTCTGTTTGGTTTGGGGTGCGGCGTATATCACGAAGATACAGCTCGCCGACATGAGATGGGCTGAGGAACGCTAACATGCCGATGTGGTCCTGGTCAGTCGACCGTGGTGTTACCCCCACCAGGGAAAAAATCGCAGATGGTAAAACCAACAAGAGCAGAACACGCCGAGGGAGCGGGAACTCTCCCAATTCCCCTTTGCGTCGCGCCTTCGCTACAGACGAAGCAATTGGGATTCAGAGCATGCGTCATGTTATCGATATGTCGTGCATGCACAATGAGAAGGACGCTACCTATGTAACAAAATATGAACAGAACTTCTCATCTCCCCTGAAGCTCGCGTTTCTCGCCGTCTCGGCGGGGAACCAGTCGTAACTTTACAGATAAAAGCGTGGGGTGAGGTTCGGAAACAATTTTACCCTCCGGTACCAGTGATAGTGATTGCGCCATTTGCAGGTGTAGCCTACATAAATTGACGATACAGCACGGAAATACACATGCACCACTTCAAGACACCAGGCAGTGTTGCGTTGCGGTTTCGGCTGGGGATGAATGTAGACTATTCCTTTCCCTCTAATATCGGTGTGTCTGTCCTTTTGGGGCTCGCACGAAGGATTCGTGAAGTTGTGCGTTGTAGCCTACCAGGAACATGTTATGGAGGAACCCAAGACAGCAGGGAAGGGGGCAGATGCGCTGCTCCTTGCCGTAGGTTCGAGGTACTCACAGTGCGAGGGCGGGACTGGGATCCGGATCTCCCTTACAAGTACTTCGCTATTTACGTACCTGTCTTTCTGTGTTCGTATATATTTTCCCTAATACTGCTGTACCTGACGACGACGGTAAACACCCGTACATCGTGCACATGCATCGAATTTTTCAAAAGCATCCCGATGGCGCTCATACAACGCTCATGGCGCTCATACAAAATGTAGTTACAAAAATATGCGTACATGTACCTGTACATCTATAATATGTACACGTTGTTGTAGAGATGGGAAGGGGGCACAGGGCTGTAGCTGTGCAACTCCGGTACCTCAAAGCGCGGTTTTCAACACCGTGCTCAACCCTGCCTCTCTTCCGGCATGATGTGCGTAGCGTCTACGTAGTTATGCACCGAGTGGTACTGCCGTCACGCCCAACGAGCAACTGGCGCAGATATGCGTACCTAGATCTCTGCCTGACGTTTTGTATTCAAGATCGCCTATTGTAGCTGCCTGCGTTATCGATCAGCTGCGATTGCTACAACCTAGCAGCAAACATATTCTGGGAGTACCCCAGATCTTTGGCTAGAATACCAATGAATGCAACACTCAGGTTTGTCGGTTGGGAAGGAAGATCCTGAAAGGAAATTGTTATTCGTGGCACGTCGCGCAGGATATTTTTGATCGTGTCGTCCACCCAGTCTTGGGACATGAGGTACCTGCTGCTGCGTGTCAGGCCGATACACCTGTGCTGCTGCCTTCGTGTTGCTAGACACCGACGCGTGGGCACCGACGACGCCCACGCACTACAGCAGCAGCATAGCTAGCATGGTAGACCGTCAGGTGGTACGTAGTAGTCGTGTGAAGAGCTCGCTGGGCCAGGTATCACGGCCTTTGTCTGATTTTCGAATCTCCCGAATTGCAAACTGCAGCGCAGCACGACTAACATCGTCGTGTCTGTCTGTCTCCCTATTCTCCATCGGATTTGGGCAATGAGACTGCGTCGGACGCGCAATTACATGGCGCTATAGCTCCTTCCTTAACTCCCGCCACAGATATAACGGTTGGTCGCGCATGATACGTACATCAGCGGATGTGACACGCCCTTGTCACCGAACACGTCATCTGAAGTACCACATCAGGTGTCGCAGAACACTGCGATAGAAGTATGCCACAATCCACCTGCCGCCGAAAGGACGTACAAACGACGAGGCAACACGTGTCCATTCGCACCTCGCTGTTATCCCGCGCTGCCTCCATCACGGTAGCTCTTCTTTCGACGTCCATCGCAGATCTCATCAGTGGCACGCCGCCGCCGCTGCTGCTGCTGCTGCTGTAACGGGCCGGCGACATCGGGCCACTGATGGTGTGACGAACGCGAAAAGAACTACAGATGGTGACGCTCAGGAACGAGGCCACGAAACACGCACGTGTACTCCATCGGCAGATCATATTCTTGGTAGAATAGGCCTTTTCTGTGTTCTGTCAGGGTCAAGACCTCAGCGCGAGTGGCGGAGTAACGCGAGAGAGAGCGGAAAAACGTTCGTGTGCCAGCGAATAATCTCGTGTGACGAGTGACGAGTAGCAAGCGCTCGAGGAAGCGCCAAGATTTCGCACGTTCCGCGGGTACGATCTGCGAACCCCCCGCGAGTAGTCATGACTGCAGCATGACGTCATGCGACCTGGAAACAGACAGAGCGAGGCGCTAAGCGCTCAATTTAGGCGTTGCAGGCGTGCCCATGAGACATGTTGCCGATCACTCGAGCATCGACAGGTCTGCAACGGCCACTCGTGGTTGCTCGGATGCGGCATGATTTCCAGCTGCTTCCCCGCTACTCGCGTTTCGGCACGGGCATCAGCCATGCTCAGCAGACGCAGTCATCAGAAGTCGTCACAGGTGCACCACCACCGGGAGAAGGAGCTGGAGCTGTTGAAGATGTGGTGGTGGTGGGAGCAGGTGTTGGAGGTATGTCGGCTGCTACACGATGTGGCTCGAGACTTTGCAGTGCATCGAAGGAATGCATACCAGTGGTACATTTTTTTGAAACTCTCACATCAGACACGAAACTCTCGTTGACACGTAGGTACACAATCAATGCAGCAGCATCACAACCGCTTTGACTGCACCCACGAGGGCTGGGTGTCATTCCATTTTTGGACGGCCTGAACTTCCTATGCATAGGACGCGACATCATCCATGAGGATAGCATAGTTCGGCCCTGCCAGACACTCGCCCTTTCAACTGCTGTCTGTCTCTTCGAATGTCGAGATACTGTAAGAATGGTAGGTACGACGATCACACAAAAAACATTCTTCGGCCTCTGCCCCCTTCGGA